CCGCTGCGTCCCCACAGTACCTGTCCTCCTGGCCCGGAGCCCCATCCTGCCGGGGAGGAACTCATCCTTCTCGCCGCGGCGGCCGCCGGCAACCCTTGGTCGGCCCGGGGCGAGAGCGCGAGCGGGGGCTGGCCCTGGATCGGGACCCTGAGCGGGGTCGGGGGCGCGACCCTCTGCGCGGGGGACCCAACTCGGCTTCCAGAGTGATACTGCCGGGAAGGAGGGGGCCGTCAGCACCTGGACCCCGTCCCCGGAGACCCCAGCCTCCGCCCGCTGGGTCGCCCACTTCCCAGGAACTCGATCTTCACCCTCCGGGTCCCCATTCCCTCTCCACTGTCTGCTATTACGGGACTCCTCCCCAGGGACCCCCAACCCCTTCTCCAGGAGCTCCACCCCAAATTACCGACCCCCCCCTCCCGGCAATACTCCTTTACTTTGCATCCTTCTCTCTCCCTCCTGCCCGGAGCCCCTATTTGGTCCCGACCCCAGGGACCTCCAGAATGCCAGCTGTAGCCCGGGGGCCCCTGGAGAGCCACCTCCCCGCCCCCTCCCCAGGTTTCCACTTCTGGATTCTAACTGGAGTCTCATGAAACCCCGCCCACGTGACCACACCCTTCCCGCCCAAGTCACGCCCAAAGTGCTGATTGGCTTAAAGTACGAAACTCCGCACAGCCATTGGTCTGACACCTCGTCCGTCTGCCCGTCCCCCTAAGGCCCGCCCCTTACTCACACGCGCTCGCGCAGGGCCGCCTCGCGGGCAGCGCAGGCTTCGCCTTCAGCTTCGGCCGCGCTTGCGCGCCGCAGCACCTCGTCCAACCGCTGCGCAGACTCCGTGGCCACCGCCTCCCAGCGCGCCAGGGCTTCTGCGGGCACAGGGGGTGGGGTGGGACTGGACATTCCGAGCCCACCCGCGCCACTCACGCCAAATTTAGAGTCTGCCTGCCTTCTGCATGCTTTGCTTTATTTGAATTAAATTGTGTGCCATTCGCATGGAGTTCACATACTCTTTTTATGGGTC